GTCCGCGGCGGCTCTGGCGCTTTATTTGGACTTGGTTCTCGGGTTTCGTCGTCCGAGCCCTTCAGCGGGGCGGGTGGGGGTCGCCTCGCCTGGGTTCTCCGCGCGGGCGCAGGTGCAGAGGGAGGGTAGTGCGCGAAGCCTGTCCACGAGGGACACCTGCGGCGAAGGCGCCGACCGCGGCGTCTCGGGCTCCCCGCGCCGCTCCCGCCTCCTCCCTGCCCCGCAGAAGCCCGCAGCCCGCAGGGCTCTGCTCCGGCGGCCGCTCGTCGGCTGCGGGAACCGCGCAGCGGAACTTCCCCTGATAGCGCTGATCCCCGGGGCCAGAGATGAATGTCGTTCTCTTTATTTGTATTTTGCGGTGAAGCTTTTACATGTGTGCGCATAAAGTGATCTTTGTAACTTTTCTTAGTAGAACCAGTAGTAATAAAAACACACACCTATGGTCTCTGAATGGTTGGAAAAAATGGAAACGTATTTTAAAGTTCTAAGTCAGCCGTGGCCGGGTGCTTCAGGGGTCAGAGCCTCCGCCCTCGCAGGGAAGGGTCGCAGGTTGGATGGCGGGTCCAGGGCAGGTACTTAGTGGCAGGTTCGGCCCCCAGCCCCCAGTCGGAGGCAACCAATCAGTGCGTCTCTCTCACATCGATGTTTCTGTCCCCCCCCTTACATTCTAAAAAAAAAAAAAAAAAAATTGAAAAAATATCCTCAGGCAAGAATTAACAAACGAAAATTAAAAAAGAAAAGAAAAGAAGGAAAAAACCCCAAAACTCTAAATCATACTACCACCCAAAGATAAGCACAAGGAGCTGCAGTTTCTTTATGGCCCCTTGTTCTTTTCATGCAGTTTCTTTTTTTTAATGTTTATAATTGCAGGTGTATAATGTAATTTTATGTGCTTTCAAAAAGCTGTCCCTAGCACGGTCGTGGGCCCTTGAATCCACTATAGTTATTGCTGTTAGTACCTGTGACCGTTATTTATTTAACCGCCTGCATTGGACCCGCCCTTTCTTGCCTTCTCCAGGCCTTCAGTTTATTTTCTCTTCAAAGTATCATCAACATATAGACACTCCAGCTACCCTTTCTAGGTCACAGCTTCCTTTCATACCAGAATTGGAAAGACTAGTGGACTCTCTGTCACCAGGTCCTCTCCCATTTCTCTTGAAGCAGCGTCAGTCAAGCTTTTGGTCCCATCTCTCCACTGAAACAGCTCCATTTAGGTTACCCACCACCTGGTTTCTGTGATTGGCATTTTACTGTACCTGCTTTATCACACACCCATCCATCCGTTTGTGTGTCGTTTCCCCCTTCTTGTGCGAAGGCAGTGTCCAAGTGTAGTTTGTTGCATTGTGCGTCTCTGACTCAGAACGGATGTTCTAGAGATGGCTCTCCACCGGTTCACGGAGCTCGCCTCATTTTTCACCCACTGCAGGGCTCCAGTAGAGTGAATGGACCACAATGGAGTCAGCCAGTCTGAAATGCGAACCACTGTTCACTTCCAGCATTTTGCATTTGCAAATAACGCCATAGCGAATAAACTTTGTGCTTATGTACTTTCATATTGCAGGCGGCTGTTCAGGGTGAATTTGTAGTGAGACTTGCCCC